AAAACCCGAAACTAATTAACAAATTGCATCCAACCAAAATAAAATATCCACTAAAAAAAAATACCCAAAATATAAAATGGAAAGAAATGTTTATATAATTAAAGAACAATTACTACTCTAAACTCTTAACAATTGACAATTAAGCCATCAAAAAATTAAAAGAGTAAGGGTACAATTGACAATTAAGCCATCAAAAAATTAAAAGAGTAAGGGTAATTTTATCTATCCAAATTTTTACAAAAACATTCACACTTTTAAGTTAGTAGAGAAGATGATGTTAAAATGAGGTGGATGATAGAAATTGTAGTTGGTGATTAGATGAATGGTATGGAATGCAGATAATATAAGAATGGTTGTTTGATATTATCTAATTATATTGATAATAATAATAATAATATTGAAGATATTGAAGTAGCGTTGAATTTGAGTTAGATTTTGAGCATGATTGAGTACGAATTGAAAAAATTATAAACAAACATCGCCTGACCTTTCATTCTGCAATATACATTTTCTACAACAATGGTAGAGTTAAAAATTGCTAAGACTACACGTTACACACTATGGGAACTAGCATGAATTGGTCAAATCTGAAACAAACATCAATAAATGGGGCAATGGGGAGATGAAAAATGGGAAAGCCGTGGGAGAACCAGACCATATTTCACCAAAACCAACAAACTCGGCTATCAATTGCCTTGACCGGAGTCAATACTAAGGGCATTCTACCATACTCAGTAACAAAACGGTTCACACATTCAGTCCTCTTCTCAGTGTGACCACCCATGCTGCTAATCCCGGTTGAACCAATCTCAAAAATGTTACCTACATCACCATACAACATATGATACACGTGAACTGGAATGGAGAGCAATCCATGAAACTTTGGTGTAGTCAGGAAAAATGATTGAATTAGAGTTTGGATAAGCATATAATATGTAACTAGAGAAATAAGTATGCGTTATATCCACAAGTGTTACAGGTTCAGAATAGACAAGGATTTCCGACCAGGCAACGCAGAAAATCAATTACTAAATGTATGCATTTGCAACGAATATAGTAAAAACGTAGAAATTTTTGAAGTGCATGGAAGGTTGACAGTTGACAAGGCAAATCTTACCTTTGACCCAAATGGGAGGAGCACCAGTTGCATTTGCAACGAGGAAAGACATTGCAATATCTTCACAATTCCTGGTTATACATAAGATTAGATCACTGTTAGTATTTTATGATTAAAAAAGAGGAGAGAAAAAAATACAACCACTAATGAGCATATAAGTCGATAATAACCTATTCTTGGTCACATATTCTCGAATTGATGATGGCATCTCGTAACTGTACATACTGAGATACTTCTTGTGGAAGAAGGCAGCTTTGGAAAGGATCATACTGTATG